GTTTAATTCTGAAGAAAAGCAGAATATGATATTAAATTTTGGCCTTCTATTTCAGTGATATAGATATAGAAAAACATAATCAACATAGAATATTATATAGAAATATATCTGAAATTATAATGAACAAATTAGTGCATAATTATCATTATAGTTAAGATATGTTTTATAAATTATTCTAAGACATTAAAAAAAAATTATATTATGTGCTTAAAAAAATGTTTATAGAAATATATTGCATAATTTTAATTTAATGTTGACTGATATTGTAAACGAGATAATATTTATATCTTAAGATAAATTTAATTTGTTAATATTTTTTTAGGTGCGTGAATACGACTGTGTCTTAATAGTGAACTTTTGTCGGTAAAAGATTTTTCACATTCTACACATTTATATGTTCTACCAGTATGTGTAACCAAATGTCTGCTAAGTCCAGATGCATGACAAAAAGCTTTAGGACAAAGTTGACAATGATGCAATTGAATATCATTTGGATCTAATTTTTGATGCCTTCTCATATGTACTTTTAATGCTTCTCTTTGAGTAAAACTTTTATCACAATGTTGACATTGGAATGGTTTTTGACCAGAATGAGTCATGAGATGGCGAAGTAAAATTTCTTTCTGTGCAAAGGCACGATGACAAATATTACAACCAAATGGTTTTTCACCTATATAAAATATAATTTTAAAAATAAAAATTTAAATGCATATATTTATTCAATTTTTAAAATAAAGCATTACCTGTATGAGTACGTTCATGTCTCACTAAAGCTGATCTAGTAGGAAACCATTTTTCACAAGCTTGACATGTAAAACCTCTTTGTGTAGAATGAACAGACTGATGACTTTTTAACATTATTCTTCTGGTGAATGCTTTTGGACATTTATCACATTGAAATACTTTTAATTCTTCACTTGTTTCAACTTAAAATAATAAAAAATTTAGATACATTAAGAAAAAAAATTTCACAGTATAGAAATCATAGATATATATATAATATTTATTACCCATGGTATCACCAATTGGTTGTAATTTTAATGTTTCTCCTTGACTTGAACTATTACTTGTAACTTCCATCATATAAACATTTTTATGATCAGCATTTGCAATTGCTCTTTGTACTTCTTCTGCCTCATCCTCTGATTCTTGTTCTTGTTTAATACGTGATGTACGTATTGTGCAACGTGCTTTAGCAGCACGTTCTTCTGCAGGTACTAATGTGATATTTTCTGGATCTTCTGACATTGTTTCTTCCATCTCTATATTTTCAGAATTCATTCCTATATTTATAAAAATATAATAATTTATAAAATAAAATTGAAAAAAAATTATATACTAATTAAATTCTAAAAACAAATAAAAACTTTCAATATACCTAAAATATAACCACCAACAAGTTCTTCTTCTGTCACTTCAATCGGATCTCCATCTTTTTGTCCACTATTACCTTTAATTGAAACTAAATCAGCCAATAATTGTTTAACTTGTTTAGATTTTCCACTGTTGGAAGAATCTTTTAATTCATCTCTATTGCTATCCTGATTTTCTCCTTCTTCACTTTGGCCAGTTAATTGTTGAATTAATTTCATATGTTTACGAAGTTTTGCATCAGCAGCTTCACATTTTTTCTTAAATTGATAGGATTTTTCTAATTGATATTTGCATGGATGACAAATCATATTTGGAAGACCATCTTCTTCATAAACCTACAATATATGAAATTTTATTAATTTTCCACTAATATATTAATTACTTATAAGCTTATATATAAACTCATAAAATAAAATACAATATTTAAATTATTGTTTTATATAAAATAATAATATATATTATCTTATAATATTTATAATAATTGTTTAAATATTTGCAAATCATTTTTTTTTAACAATATATAAAAATAGGTTTGTAAGTTTTCATTTTAATTATAGTAAGTTATATTAACTTATATTTAAATTATATTTTATGTTTACTTATATCTCAAGTTTTAAAATTTTGAAACAATAGAGATAATGAAAATATTGAAAAATTGTATAATGAATTCAAAAAAAATATTCATGATATAATGAAATGTTAGTAGAAAGAAATATTAGATATTTTGTCTTTTTTATATGTTGCAATTATTTATATCTAAAGTAAAAGGAAAAATTTCAGTGGACATATATAAAGTGTCAATATTAATACATTGACTATAATATTACAGATTTCTATAAATCCATAGGGTAAATGATCTGTAATGCAATGATACGCCTTGTCTAGATTCCTGTAATGAAAGGGAAGGTGGCGTCGACATATCGTGAACGTAAAGTCGATAACTCGGTAAAGCCGGTAGTTGCTTTGCGCAGTGTGTCGCGCGTTGCCCGAGACCTAAACTTAAATCATAGACGGTTCTATATCTCGTCTGTGGTTAAACGTTTCCTTTATACCTACATCGAATGTGTAAGTGACCCTCACAAATACAGAGTAAAATCGAAGAGTGGGGTAAAAATGAGAGAGAGAGAGACAAAGAGAATCTCACGCAGAGAGATAAACTAGATTCCTATTTTTCGATAAGATTCTTATATACGTACGAAAGATGATTAACTAATGCGATTTTAACTTAAATTTGTCACATATTTATTAAATTAAATCTTCTAACTTACCTCCAGATTAACACAAGCCATTATTCGCAAAGATAAGGGAATAGTTTCATCGTCGTAAATCGGCACCATCTCCTCCTCCTTTGCCAAGCACAGTCGGCACAGCTCGTTCACATGAATGATTACGTTACTCGTGCTATCACCCTTTTTTCTGCTGTACGTTTTCATTTTGATGTTCTTTAAAATCTTCTACACGTTCGTTACGTAGATATTTCACCTTTAATGTCGAGGAGAAATAGAGTTTTCCCTGGAAAACCCTGGAGAACGAGACTCAGTCACACACAACGGAATCTATAATGGCGGCGGCGTCGGTTGCGGCGGCAGCGACGATTGACCAATGGCGGACATACGGCGCTGTAGTACAGCAAAGATGGAGAATTGTGAATTTTCTACACGCGGGAAGGAGAAAGATGGTTACGTATAAAAGAGAAACTGCGTCGTTTAGGGTCTTCGTCATCGCAAAGTCGGTAAGGCCGGTAACTATTATTGATTTTCTATTCTTCCCAACGGCGGGAAATAATCTTCCATTTGCTATTATAGCGGCATATTCGAATTTTTTTGTATTTAATATTTTCACATTATTATATTTCTTATTTCTTATATTAAGTTGTTAATTACAAGAAATGATTATCAATAATAATAATAAAGATAGCAATAAATGCATTAATTTTTATTATTTCATAATACTGACTAAAGAAATAATGTTTCGCATTGGACTGCATTCGAACAATGGTTTTCGTAGAATATCGACCGTTCAGAGATACGTATTATAAAAACTTTAATATTTTCTTCACTAATATTATTACAAATAATACAAATAGAAATTATTATTACAGTCAATTATATTAATTATGATATAATTTCTATATTTTTAATGTATAGCAATTATAGATACTAATATTAACATTTTCATTATCCGACTCTCTTGGTAAGAAATTAGATTATATATATATATACATAAATTAACTGCTATGTTTTTATTTGTAAAATTGCTTAAATGAACATACTAAACATACGTATTTAATATATTTAATTATTTTTATTTTTCTATTAATAATTTATTTCGTAATATACTATTTTTTTTTATATTAATTAAATTGTTGTCGCGCATTTATAATGATTATAAAAATGATTAAATAAATCTAAAACTATTTCAATTATTATTTTTTTTATTTTTA